TTTTTTTTTTTTTTTAACGTTGCCTCTGACATCTCGTCAGCACATGGCACTCTCTTCCCATCAGAGCAGTCTCCCTGTTATGTCATTACCTGTTTACATGCCGACCCCTCCCCCCCTCCCCTGCATTGGCCTTTGGAAGGCCGAGCCTGCTTGTCATTCATTTCTTGGCGCCTGGTACCCAGTAGGCTCTCAACGAGGCTTGCTTGCCCAAAGTATCAGGCGTGCACATTTTGATCGTCTTTTCCTCTCCAGAGCCCTCTCTGGGGCTGAGCTGTTCCGGGCCTGGACCCCTTCCGGGGGCTTTTTAGCCGCCTCCCCATGAGGCTGTCCCGGCTGAGCCTGGCTGTGCCCTGTTTTGTCTCACACTCTCATTAGTGCCTTCCCGTAGCCCTCATTTGCTTCGCAGGAATTGCCTTAACCAGCGTTTCTCCCCTAGGTACAGAAGTCACCTGGGTGAATAGTTTGGTGTCCTTGGAGCAAGGATGAAATCCGGAACCACACGGGAAAAGATGAATAGATTTGGCCGCACACACACGAAAACCTCTGTGTGGCAAAAACAAAAGCGAAAAATCAATGAAAATGCAAACATATTTTCAGTGTTAGTGACAAGCGGAGGGCTAATGTGGACATAGAGAATTTCGCAGATCAATAAGCAAAGATAAACACAAGGGAGAAAAGAGTAAAGCGTGTGAACCAAAGAGCTACAAATGACCAATAAAAATGTAAAGACAAGTGCAATTTAATGGAGGAAAGGATTACAATGAAAACAACACGATGGAATTTTTCGACCATTGCCCGAGCAAAGGTGGAAAAGATTGATAGGAATCATTCCCAGCCAGGAGTGTGTACCTTGTGACGAGGCAGCCTGTTAGTTAGAAACACGGGGCCTCGGGCCCTGCCCCAGACCTCCTGATCAGAATCTGCTTCTGAACAAGGTCTTTTAGCGACACGGATGCACGTCAGAGTTTGGAAATGCTGCTTCCCAGGGGGAATGGGAGCCAGCCTGCCTGGAATTGAATTTCGGTTCTGCCCTTTGCCGGCTCTGTTTCACGCTGTGGGTCTGCGGACCTGGTCCGCTCCATGTTTCTGGGAGCGGCGGGCTGGCTGGGGCATGTTCTCAAGTCAATAGCAGAGGCACAGGAGGGCGAGTAGAAACCAAAGAGGCCTCCTCCTTCTTTTTTTTT